GGGTTTATTTCAACAGAAGCACATTTTTAATCAGCACAATTAAAAAATCAAATTGCCATAAGCAAAAGCAAAATCTAACAAGAAGGATTCCTTAAACTGAGCTTCAACCGTTTTCTCAGTCCCTGCTTACATGGGCTCTCCCCTCCCAAAGGCATTCCTCATCCTCCTGTAACTCAAACAGTCTTGTTTAAAACTTGAGCCTGATCCCCTGGAAGTCAGTGGTGAAATGCTCAAGCCCTTCCAGGACTTCCTGGGTGTGCTTTGAAGGGGAGAGTGGCTGTAGTGTGCTAAGGAGCAAGTAATAGTCCTGGAGTGGGTCATGCCTTTATTTCCAACCATTTGAAATTCAGCTGGGGTGGGAGGTGGAGGGAGAGGAGAGGAGAGAATAAGAGGGAGAGGAGAGGAGGAGAAAGAAGTGCTTTCCACAAGAACTCATCCTAGGAGATTTTTTTTTTCTAGCTCATATGAGGGGAAGTTGGCTTTGGCATTTTTAAGACTGAGGAAAAAGATGAATAGTTTGCAATTATAGTGTATTTTCAGCCATAGATTTCTAGACAACAGTAATACAACCTTAACACATAACTAGGGAGACTGCATTATGCCTGTTTTACAGCTAGGCCCACTGAGGCACAGAGAGGTTAAGCTGCTTGCTGTCGGTCACACACAGCGTGTCTGTGGTCACACAGGAGAATGTTCTGGTTTGAAAAACCGCTCAAAAGACTCTTCATCACACAGACTTAGGGCCTGTGCCAAAGCCACAGAAGTCAATGAAAAGATTCTCAGAGACTTCTGTGGGCTTCTGATCAAGCCCCCTGGCCCTCTTGCATATGTGAGAGACCAGAATGCCCCAGAAGAGCAATTACAGTTTATTGCATCAATAACCCTAATACTGAACTGCCACAACCCACCTGATATATCAGACTGTCACAACTCTAGCTGCAGACTACTGGGTCAAAAATCTAGGTTCCAAAAAGTTCCCAGCTATCGATCATTGAACTGCCTTGTTTCCAACGGAACTATTATAATCTACATTAAAATGTTGGAACCGCAATGAAATATTAAAATATTTGCTAGATTTTATAACACTTTTGTTAAAAAATAGCTTCTGCTATAAAGCAAGATTTTCTACCATTTCTATAACAATGTATCGATCCGTTCTTTGTAGTTCCTTAACGTCCAATGAAAAACTATCAAGACATTAACAACACATGATTACTGTCTCCTGCAGAAATGGAAGTGGAAGTGTAAAGGTATGCATGTATGAATAGTGCTACTTAGTGTCATACACTTCAATTCATAAACTAATGTATTTAATACAGAAACAGTAGCATCTGGTATGACAATAACTAGCATATGATTAAATATGAAGCAAATAATGAATGTATGATCTAGTTGTATTAATTTCTTCCTGTCAACAGTTTTGCAGATAACTGTGAATATTTTCATAGTAAAATCTGAGAAGAACAAAAATATTTTGGGGGGGGAGAAGACAAGAAAATAGAAATATATAGTCTAGGAAAAATTCTGCTGTCAGTTTACACTGGTGTAACTGAAGTAACTTAATTGGCTTCTGTCAAGTTTAATGAATTTACAGCAGTAATTGGTCTTCTAATCATAAAAAATGAAAACCTTTATTAGGGGCTTTTCTACCCTAAATGCCAAAGAATTATGCTTGTCCAAATACAAATATAAACATATTTAAAGGAACTGGTATAGACTACATTATATTTACACCATATCTTTACAACGTATGTCTTTCAAGGCATGCATTTAAATGTTGGTTTTCAGTGCCAAAACATTTTCTGTTCAAGAATGATGTTTTGTAGACAGAAAGCGGAGACCTTGTAAAACACGATTACTCATGTGGTTAAACTTAGTACTGTTAAGAAAAAAGTATGCGCATCATATTTGGTTTAGACATTTTTCTGAAAAAAAAAAAATAATGATGTCAACAAATCCATACTGGAAAGTTTTATAACACTGGAATCTTTAATGTTACCCCCCGTCTTAATTTACCACAGAGTTTTCATTAATGCATTCACAACCTATTTTCCCTTAAAGGACTTTTAGAGTCCAGTGATTTTCAAAATTGATATATGTGGGGAAACTGCTAGAAATATATTTTCATATAATTGTGAATTTTTAACATCTTCTTGGGAAAATACAAATCCCAAGTATTATATGTACATGATAAACTTTTCAAGCTTCATAAATGATAACAGTAATGGTGACGATAGGTGGTGACTAACTTGTTTCTACTGTGAACTCTTGCTCTTTACTCCCCCTTAACCTGTCAACACCTCATAAATTTCTTTGAGTACTGAAATTATAAGTCAATTGGCCACAACTTTGAAAAAAATTAAATGAATATTTGAAGTATAATAACTTTCAAAACATTCAACTGTAAGTTTTATTACAAGGAATATGATTCAATAAGACAAAGCTAAAACTAAGAATCAATCATTTTATAACACAAGATGGGAAACTAGCGGGGATAAAGTACACATTGTCCTTATTTTCAATGTGTCGCCTTGAAAGATGGTTGTATTATATTTAACAAATATCAGAAAGATCAAAGATGTTATTTTTCAAAGTCCGGGTCTTTCCAAACTACTGTACGTGAACAGCAAAGTGAAAAGACACAACAAACAACAATGGGCCCAATAACACTCTCCTGTAGGAAAGAACAGAAAAATGGAGGACATCCAGGTTTTCTCTGACAGAGACTTCTTTCTAATTCTTTCATTAGTGGTGCTGGGGAGAGTTCTTACCTGTCTCTCCAAAAGAACAGGCCTAACTCTCAAACTCTACAGATCCTTGGAATCCCACCTCCGCGGTTTTCAAACTATGGGTGGCAACCCAGTACTGGGTCATGGAATGTCAGGCACTGGGATCAGGTGAGCAGCCAGGGCGCTAAGGCAGCTACCTGCCTATCCTAGCACCACAGATTGCGCTGCACCCCAGAAGCAGCCAGCAGGCCCAGCTCCTACATGGGGAGAGAGTGCACAGGGCTCCATGCACTGCCCCTGCCCTGGGCACTAGCTCCGCACTCCCACTGGCTGGGGACCTGCTTCTGGCTGCTTCTGAGGGCAGCATGGTCTGTGGTGCCAGGAGAGGCAGGAAGCTGTCTTAGCCGTTCCCCCTCCCCTCCCCCCCACTGCACTGCTGACCGGGAGCCGCTCAAGGTAAGCCCCTCCCACACCAGCCCTGACCCCCCCCACACACACACACAAAGATGGAGCCCCCTCCTACAGCCCAAAGCTCTCATCCTCAGCCCCACCCCAGAGCCTCCCCTCTGATCAAAATCTGTTGTGTCAAGAACATCAATGATTTTCTCCAACTGGGTCATGAGAAGAAACGTTTGAAAACCGTTGCTCTATCTTCATCCACCCTGGGCCTGGGTCTCCCACAGCTATTCAGCAGACTCTGGCAGCCAGCAGCGGGGAATGGGGAAGTGAGGCCTATGGAAATGGAATACTGAATCTGGGTGCTTTATTTTCACCTTGAGTTGTGCAGCAAGCAGGCATCGGCATAAGGAGGTGGGGCCAGAGACATAATGCATGCTCTGCATACTGCACCTCTAACCAGACAGATCCCTTCTTAGGTCTGGGGGGAGACGACACTGCCTTCATGCATGGGGGGAAAATCTATGTGGAGAGGATCCCCTCTGCCCATGGATCTCAGGAGCACGGTTTAGCACACTAAATAAAACATTTAGCACTCTGGGCTTCACCCTGCTTTAAATCCAATGCAATTTTTGGCTGAATTAGTAATGCAAGACAAGGCCCTAAAGACACATCTTTCCATATTCTCCAAGCAGAAGGGCTGCTTCTACTCCACCAGAAAATAGCAACAAACCTCCTATTAGAAGCCAAATTTGTTCTCCGGAGAAGCAAAGAAATGCCAGAAAGTTCTTTCTGAGACAGTGTCCAAGCTGGGTACAGAACACGGGATTTCTTGTTCTCAGTCCAATGGTCCGACCACTAGGAAATAGTGCCTCAATCAATTTCTCATTACACTTAGTATAAGATCAAAAAGTAAAAATGTTCATGAGTTCAGCGGTTAAGATGTCAAAAAGAACTATACACCCTACTTTTTCAGTAGTGTCAAAGCTACACAATACAATTTTAATTTTCCCTTACATTGAGGTCCTGAATCAGGGGACCAGTTAAGCACACACACTTAAGTCTATCCTTTTTCTAGGCAGTTCTTAAGTCCCATTGACTTCTATTTAAAATTCAACACATGCTAAGATGCTGTCTTTAAACAGTAATGCTTTCCTGAATCTGGATTTTCTCAAATGATGACCTATAACTAATATAAATGAATATAAGGTTTGTACATGTCCTGGGAAAATGACAAAAGCAATTACTTCTAGTAAAGAATATAAAAGAGCAAAGAGTTGATAAAAGAGAAAAGTTCCATTTCTTCAGAACTTGCAAAGAAGAGACTGAGAAATAACCTCTAGGTTTTTTTATGCCTGTAGTGTAGCAAGAAATATGATTATTTTAGAAATTAAAGATAATTGCTGAAAGTTGTAACAAATACAAAATCCTTAGGCTCAACTTTTACAACTGTCATTTTGTTGCATCACAGTAAAAGTGTTTATAAAAGAGTGATAGTAGTGATTCTAGTTTAAGCTTTCTGATTGTCTAGTTTGCTTTGTTGAGTGAAATTTAAAGTGGATTAAAAATACCAAAATATTTTTATCTAAACAGACAATTATACAGTACCAAAAAATAGGCATACAGTATTTCTCAGTAAGCTCAATCTAGCTGAAAAATAAATGTTACCCTTTTAAATTACTGTTAAAATTATTGTTTCATAAGTTAAACATTTAGATCTTAAGACATTCATATTGCATTATTGTATTTTTAGCTTCAATCTATGAGATTAAAATGTACTGATAAGGCAACAGGGATAAATTATGTACAATTGATATAATAAAACTGAGCTACAAATTACACTGTCTTTGGATAAATCAGTCTCATGCTATTTGTTTAGAACTATGTTACCAAAGAATAAGGGTTCACGTTTTTAGCAGTCACAAACACACCAGCTGACAATTATTCTCTGTGACCTACAAACTGGTGCATAACTGAAACCTTTAAAATGTGAATGTATTTTAATTCTGAAGGAAAAAGACATATCTACAATAAATTAGTGAACTGGTAAATAATGTCTTTCAAAGCATGAGCAGGAAAATACTGAATGGAATTTACAGTTACATTTTTAAGAATACTCAAAAATTGCATCTCTCTCAGGAATAACCATGGTGATTTTAAATTATACATGTAGCATTTTGCCTAAAAATATATAAATAAAGAGACAATCTCAGTTTCCATTCAATGGTAAAAATGAGAAAAACAACCCCCGCCCAAATTTACAGGCCCTTAACTTCAGCAGATAATAAACTGTCAAAACTTTGCTCATTTTGTTGACATAATTTTAAGTCTCATTAAGATTTTAATGGAAACAACATGCCCTACATCTTTTTCATTCCCTGCCCCCAAGTGTATTTTTCCTCCCAATGTTCATGTAGGCAAGTAAAGACTATTTTCTTGTGAGCCAATGCTGGCATCAAACAGACCACAAAAGAGTCTTGTAAAAGACAAGCAACGATTTTAAAGTCTATTATATTTCATATATTCCTCTCTTTAATCTAAGTCTTTTAATCTTGCTTCACTCTAAAATCATTTCTGGTTGACAAGTGTCTCTGACTGGCTTTGTTGAAGCTAAGGGAGCCCACTTTATTAACGTAGGCTGCTGATGTATCCTTTGTTAGATAATCCACATTCAAAACTTTTTTCTCTGACGCCTCTATCGTTAACAGGGGGAAAACTACGAGATGGAATGCTCAACAACATGGAAATGAATACATTTACAAATGAATCTCAGGAAGATCACTTCAGTATGTATGCAAAAGCACAGGGTCTTGTACCCCAAGAGGGCCCACCATGAACTGTCCAGTTTTCTTATAATAATCTGAAGCACAAATTTATTTATATTTTAAAAGCTACTTTGGGGCATCTGGATAAACAGAACTATAACTCTCACACAGCAACTATCCACACTATAAAGAAATTCCACCTTATTTCCTTTTGTTTGTAGTTATTTAATAGAATTTGGTGCCCCATTGTTCTTGTATTTGAGTTAGCTCAAACGTCCCTTTCGGTAGCTAGCCTTTCCATCCTCTTAGTAATGCTGTATACTGGGAGGCTCTTCAGTCCCATTTTTCAACAGAATATAGGTTGAGAGAGCCGGGGGCTCCTAAAGGCTGCTGTGGGGCTCCAGCTGGACTGCCGACCATGATGCCCCGCCCAGCTGGCCCTCCTGCCCTTAGGCTCCCAGGCTCTCTGGTTCAGGAGCATCTGGGGTCCTGCAGGCTCACGGATGTCGCCGGACCAGAGAGTACCCGTTTCTGGAGGTACAATCTATATTGTTACTTCATTTCACTTGGTATAATATTTTTACTCCCTATTTTCACTTACTACAGAGAAACTGATGTAGCTGGTATTTTCTATTCAGAAGCCAAGAAAGCATTTAGACACTGCAGTTTGGGGAGTTCATGCCTGTATGCGCACACACGCGTATATTACAAAGAAAGAGGGTGGGAGTGAGAAAAAGAGAGACAGTGGTTTTAGAACAGATATTGTATCCACCTTTGCCTAACTGGTCTATTTTTAAGCTTTCCAACATCTCGGTTACTTTAAAAACTAAATTTACCTACTTTAAATATTCATTAAAATAGCTACTTTAAAATATTAAATATCACGAGAGAAAACCAGTGCACGTTTGTTCCTTGAACACTAGATGGTGGATATTGAGCCATAGTTTAAAAGTTGGTGATAAGTATGCAGTGCTTCCACCTATGATTAGATCATGCAGTAAAAAAAAAAAAAAAAAACAACTGGAACGTAAACGGATTTTCAGTGAGTACAGCAAATGAATTATAGGCATGCTGGGATGAACTCAGAACTCACCATGGAGCTTTTATGGAAAAACATCCTGCTCCAAACAGGTAAGGTCTTCATGTAAAGGGGAAAAATGCACAAAAATTAGATGAAAACTCATTATCAACAAGTACAGTGTATCTCATGCTATTAAGATTTAAGATAAAGGTAAACAAAATTTTCATAACTGTTTGCAAAGCCCCTGAAGGTATGTTGAATTCTCAAGTTACAAACATGCTGATGGGGACACATCCTGCAAACACTAATGTAAATAGCCCCACTGACATCAATGTGACTACCCATGGTAGCAATGTTTACAGGATTGGGCCCTTCATGCAGTAGAGACAGCATCCACACGTTGCTGTCAGTTTTAACATGGACAGATTTTGAAAAGTTACACAGTATAATTTTTCTTTTCGAACTATTCTGCCAATGCCTTTTAAGAAGCACTACAGAGGAAAAACAGAGTTGAGGGCCTTAAAACAATGTTCAAATCAACTTTAATAATCAGATTAACAAAGTCAATTAGCATCAACAGCAACAGTTTAGGTGTTTGTTATTAAACGCTTAAAATTTGACGAGAAAAAAAAATTGTCAGAAAGATCAGTCCTACAACAAATGAATTTCAGGTAGACCAATCATCTTTTAGGGAAGTTCTCTCTCCACCCTTTTCCCCTTTATAAAACACACTCTTGGAAATTAAAATGCATCACTGTGGCATGACACGCTAGTCTTTTTTCCTTATAAGTTAGTTTGGAAAACAGTAGAGACAAGAATCACTAATTTAAATGTAACATCCAATATAATAGTAAATACTGATGCACAACTTACTATGTTTGGCCACGTATTAAAATTTTCTCTACAGCACAAAGTCAGATTTAAAAACTATTTTCCATAATGTACAGTATAGTTTTTTTAACCAATTCTCCACCCCCACCACCAATTTTTTAATCAGTTTGTTTCTTTTAAATCACCATGGCATTTGTATACAATATGAAAAAAATGATAAATGTAAAGCCATTTATATGCTTGGGGCTTCTATAATCTTTATCTGGGAGCATTTAGCACTACCCATATAATTGGTGCAGTCAATTTAAATGTAGATGTGGCATTACTTTTTCTATACTTTGAGTAAAGGACAAATAATTGCTAAAGTGACATGAAATATTTTTAGCCACCCAAATAAAACAAAAGGCTACCAAAAGGGGCGTAATTACGCATCTATGTTTTCATGTTAAATTTATACAAGTTTGACAAAGGAGCAATACCACAGAACACAGACGTCTTTTTAAGAAATCAGTTATGTAAAGAAAACAAAAATGTTACACCTGCATGCATACTGATCTGAAGATATACTTATCCAAACAGACAAGAAAATTGCAGGGCAATCAAGTAACCCATAAATTACTTTTTTTGTTTTAATATACGTTTTAATTTTCTAGATCAATGGCCAAATTAAAGGTATTACAAGCTCTGCAGCTTTATCATGTACAATATCTCTCTCAAATTAATTTTTTTTCAAACACCTACATACTGGGCATGGGGGTCCCGGTTCTGCATCAAGGTCCACTTAGGAGGAACAATCTACTTTTCAGAAAATGCCTCGCCATTCTAGAACAGAGCTAGAACCCAGTTTAATTGGATTAGCTGATTTCTAACAGACAGCAAATTATTGTCCCGCTGACCCAAAAGCCACTCCAAGGATTCATCAGCAGATTAACAAAATGGTGCTGCACTTAAGAAACCTTTGACAATAAAACAACAGAATTCTCCTTTTTCCCCCCTCTATACAAGCCGCTACCAACATATTCAAGAGAAAAAGATCTTCCAGGCCTAAAACTGGAGAGCCATTAGTCAGTGGACTCATCCTGAGACTAGGAGCTAGAAATTTCTACTCTGTAACCCTAGCTGAGTCCTAATTAAAGCCTATAGTTTTTCTTATCTGCCTCAGTTTCTCCATTGGTAAAACAAGAAAAATAATACTTACCTAAGATTAGAAGGACATTGAAATAATTAAAATATTTGTTTGAAAATTTTAGAAATTATTACTAAATAGAACATGTTACCATGAGATTTTTTTTAATCATCAAAATTACCAGTGCCCTTTTAAAAAATAAACTGACAATCCTAGATGTACAATTTTCAGTATAGCTTGGATTTCTCATAGCACAGAGAAACTGCAGCTGCATTTAAAAAATTGCTTACATTCTTACTACAAATACAAAGTCCGTATACATGTAAGAAATCACAGTAATAACCCCATTTTGTTTAGCAGTTCCTTTCTTTCCTTAATTTACAATTCATTTCTGTCATCTTTTACACAAGCAACTGAACATGTCCCACAATTTGCTTCACACAGCATGGTTGGTGTGTTAATAAAAAAAAGACAATATACATATTACAAGACAACCCATCCTTGAATTGACAGCACCAGATGGCTATGCTGGGTGACAATAACACAGCAATGTCAACGCTGGGAAAAAAAAAGCCACGGAAGTTCTATGTGCCAATGGCTCGAATGCCAAGAGCACATAAGATAGACTCTTGAGAATTGTCTGCCAGTGGAAAAAATACTAAATGAAGGTGATAATGATTCATAATTGAAACGGTATTTTTATTGATTCACCTAATATTCAATCATGATTTTTATTTGATTTTCCTGCATTAATATTTTTTTAAAATATGCAACTATTCAAGATCGTAATAAATTCAACACGATCTACTAACCCTCACCTGCCACTGCTACCAGGTTTCACTGATATTTCATAAAGAAATTGTGACATTTGGACAAATGTGGGATAAATCACAATACTTCATACAAACTACAAGAGTTAGAGCTACATTTTTATTACCAAAGTTTAGTAAACTAATCCTTCAGATAATACATAACCATGATTTAAAATGTGCCCCAAATAGAAAGTTTTCAATAAACAAAGAGGCACGCTGATCGCTGTCTCTAAGTTTTTTCATTGATTAAGTTTTAATGCATGTTTGACTTTTTTCAGTTGTTGTTACCTACGTAATTGGATCATGATATTGCTCTTTTTATTTTTGTTTGCATCACTAACCGGACCTGGGATAAATTAAACTCTTAGGAGTCAAAATACATCAAACGGATATCAGTGATTTTCTGAACAAATAGTACACGAGATGGGAAACATTAAAATGATAAAATCTCAGCTTGTTTCAACATCAGAGACTTTATCTACACTTCCCTCTCTTTATTTAAAAAAACGGGGGGGAGGACGGGAAATGGATAAAGTTTCAAATATATGAACCCAAACCTTTCAAAGAGGAAAAATCAGATTTGTTCCTGTTCTTATAAGGAGCGCTGCAAGGCTTTGTTTTGGCATGAGACAGAAATTGACATATCGGGGTTTCAGTGTAGCTATATTATATTTGAGACTGAAGTATGATACTAACATAAATGACCATCCCTTGAGAAATTTAAAATGAATGCTGCTGTCAAAGAAGCAAACATTTACAAGAGTTTTCCTTTGTAGCAATTACTTTATCATTTATTTCCTCCTCTCTATTACAGGTCATCCATTCTACTACGTTCGTAGGAACTGGAAATTAAATACAATTCACTCCGCTGGAAAAGGACGTATTTATAAAAGGCCAAATGCAAACACAAAGGTTTCCTCCAATTAATACATTCAAGTATTGTATTTTATTTAAATGGTCCTAAGATGATCAGATTCCCTAGTTTTTTATTGCTTCTCTCAGGATAAATAATTTGTCCCTATATAGCAAACCTCCTTTTATGATTTATAAGTTTTTTTAAAAAAAAAAAAAAAAAAAGACAAATTCATCGGGACACATACCACTTTTCCAAAGGAAGTCAGTATTAACTGTTCCTATCTGTTGACTGGAAAACTGAGACAAGAGGTTCAGTGAGTTACTCAGGGACACACTGGAAATCTGAGGAGGAGCCTACGTGTCCCAGCTCACATGCCCATACCTTAACCACAAGATCGTCCTTCCTTGAAAAGGTTGAGAGTCCCTTTGAGGAACCTTTTGTGGTGTTAAAGTGTTGACAGGACAAACCGCAGGAAAGCGAGTCAAGAGGTTTGTAAAAAATGGGGGTAAGAGTGATGTGCCAAGTGCAGATGGGAGAATAGACAGTTTAGGAGAAAGCGGTGGGGGAATGCAACTGCCAAGGGAAGAAGCAAAGGAAGGGGACCAAAGAAAGAACAGTTATGGGAAACAAGGGATGCCATCTTTCTTGAGTTCACTCTCTGGTATTCAACACTAGGGTTACGTCTAGACTGCAAGCCTCTTTCGAAAGAGGCTTTTTCAAAAGATACTTTCGAAAAAGCCTCTTTCGAAAAAGAGCGTCTAGACTGCAAGCAGTACTTTCGAAAAAGCAAGCCGCTTTTTCGAAAGAAAGCACCCAGGCAGTCTGGATGCTCTCTTTCGAAAAAGCCCTGTTTGCATTCAAGAACACCTTTTTTCGAAGAGCACTTTCGAAAAAAGGCATTCTTCCTCGTGAAATGAGGTTTTCCGCCGTCAAAAGAAAAGCTGCGTTCTTTCGATTTAATTTCGAAAGAACGCGGCTGTAGACTAGACGCAGGTGACGTTTTTTCAAAAAAAGGCTACTTTTTTCGAAAAAACCCTTGAGTATGGACACAGCGTAGGGGTGTAACATGCTTTCAAAAGAAAGGAGCTTAAAGAGTGGTCAGAAAATGTTCTGAGTTCCGTAGGCTTACTTGACAAAAAAGCTCCAATGATAAAACAACCTAATGACTCAACTCCTGGTTCTTGTGTGTCATTCCCATGGGACTATTGTAGACTCATTCTGAAAGTTTACTCCTCCCTGGCTGCCAAAAAAAGAACATGTTGATCTGAGATGGATAATATTAAGGACATTGATTAATCTTTTTACATGAAATATATTTGGTTGTCCTGGGAAAAACTAGAACCAAAAAAACTAATTGCTTGATAAATACAGTTATAAATTATGATTATATATTCTAATCAAAAGGGGGTTTTTAAGACTCTAAATAACTAACAATGCTGATTAGTCTAAAGCTAGGAGTTATCTGTTGTTGTTTTAATCTTTCTGTTTCTTTCTGGAATTGTACCATCATAGATTAAAAATGTGATTTTTAAAAGAAAAAGAAAAAGAATCAATTTTGATGACCATCGTCTAGTAGTTATAAAATCCAATTGATTTCAAGCACTCCCTCCTTCTCTGATCACAGCACAATCGCAAGGTTAAGCAGCTGCTTCCAAAGAGTGCCTTGTTTCCTTGAAGCACTGCTTAAAGGTGCTGACCATGTAGGTGTAAATACATCTGTCTTTTGCCATTTGTAGTAATACATGCCTCCTACACTTCTCAGAACCAGGCAGATGGTCCCTGTCCTGTCTAAATATTACATTGTACAGACGTACATTGCTATGTGTTTCTAGAAATATGAGGGCAGATGTTAAATATGTCCAACACACGCTTTGCCCCCTGGAGGTTTAAGTTAAGGCTGCTGTCTCTATTTCGCCATTTTAGGCATGCCAGGATTCTTGGATCCTAGGCATTCCTCTTAAATCTCTGCTTTGTAAATAGAGCTTTTCATGTTAATTTTGTGTACTCTCGTCAAATATTTTGGACACAGAATAAAAGAAGGCAGCCATGAGCTTAGTATTACACATTTATAGGATTTGCTGAAAATTATCAGCCCCATTCATGAAAAGTATTATTACATAGCTGGGGTCCCTTTCCATGACCATTTCTCACTACATAAGCCTCACCGAATATTTTATACTCCATTCATTTCTAAAAAAAAATACATAAAATAATTGGATAGGACCAACCTGGTGACTAGAAAGTTTACACACAGAAAAATCTGAGCATGGACTACACATGTAAGAGAGGTAAGAATTAATAAGTGAATGTGAGGAAAGATTTGAGTTACTTTTTCCTGACTTGTACAAAATTTCAATGGCAGTGCCAGCACTTTTTAAAAATAAAGTGCCTTAGAAAAGGCAGCAAAAATAAACTGCGGTAAATCAAACAACTGGGGCCTCACACAAAGTCAACGCTGACTTCTATCTTCCTCTTCTGTCCTTCCAATCATGTTCATTTCTTCCTCACACCTCCACAGGTTTCTTGTCTCCTTCAACAATCTCTATTGTTCTCAGGTACTAAGTGGCCTATTAATGTGGTTCAGGCTCCCTGTACTCACCTTCAAGAGTCTACACATCCGTGCAGAAACCTACTCTCTCAGACCCTCCTCCTCCTGCTGCTGTGCTGCTCCCAGTCCTTTTGCTCAACTTCCATCTCCTTCTCCCACATGACTTAGTACGTCTTTTGAGGCACCCGACAGACCTTCCCTCCATCTGGCCACTAGTCTCCCACCTTCTCTTCCTTACTCACTTTCTTTGCAGCACTCTTCTCCGTATTCCGTTTACCACCCTTACCCTTATATTTGCAAAAAAAGAAAACAAGCCCTTGCAATGCATGCATGGAAGAAGTTAACTACCCTTTTCTCTGGTCCCTGACTCCTCTTTGTTCCTCATGTTCAGTCTACAATTCTATGCACAGTTCAGGGGTAAATTGTCTGAGGTGCTGAGCATTTACAACTTTCACCAAAGGCAAGAGGTAGCATCACTTTTCAGCTCACAAGTCATCAATAAGGCCAACCAAACTGCCATTCGCATCAGTGGGTACACAACAGGGTGGTTAGATGATATGACCTTTAGAGCCCTACCAGGCACCTCTGTACAGCTATGTAAAATCATAAAGATAAATACATTTTATAAACTATCCCTGACATCATATCAGAGAACCAGAAATTAACCAGAATAAAGATGACAATCCTGAAATCCTTACCTGGTTCTTACTCAGATAAAACTCCCACTGAAGGGCACAAAAGTGAAATTCACCAGTCCCCATCTGAAATCTGGGTATTGTGGCTTTGAGCCAGGAACTAAGTGGGGGTCGCAAGATGGTGCTTACTCACCAGCACCCAAACTCCTTGAATACCATGTGGATAGGAAAGAGGCTATGCTAAAGTATCCCCATAAGCAAACTTCTCATACAGATAAATGCCTCAGTCAATAAGGGAATGAATGAGACAAACTTTAAAAATACAATTATAATAGTCAGCCTTTTAGGGATCTGAGCTTCTCCAGGAAGAGGAAGGTGGGATAAATCTATATTGAGAGACTTTATTCATGAACTGCAGACGTTTTCTGATTTCTTCAGAGACAGTTAGCTATTTAAGTATACAAAATATCAACGGCCAGCAAATACTGGTTAATTTCAGATGCACGTACCCCAAAATTTAAAAATCTATGACATCTGAATTTATCTTGTGTGTCTCAGCTAAGTGTGGCTAGTTTAAAAAGACTTACGTGTCTTATTTAATAAATAGTAATGTGCACTTATTTAGTAGTGCTTTTCATACTGAAGGATCCTAAAGTGCTTTATACACTCTATACACAAAACAACTGAAATATATGTTGGATGGATGGTGAAAATCCAGAAGCGGACAGCGTGCTGTAGAGCAGTCAGTGGAAAAGGCAATTTTGACCAAGGAGATGGCAGCAAACACATCTTTTAAAAATTACATATGCCCTCCTACAGAAAGGAGAATTTAAATATGTGTCAGCAGATGTATGTACTTCAAACCCAAGTCTTAGTCAACTGTACTAAGTTCAGGAAATCAGGGTGAGAAGTTCTGTGGAGGTAATAGGGATGTCAGTGGTTTACCAGATTACTGGTTAACCGGTGACCCAGCCAGGCAGGCGCAGCCCCGATGAGGGAAGGGAGCTGTTGCAGCCTTCCCGTATCGCAGGTGGAGAAGAGGGGGAAGGCACGCCTGCCCGGGAGGAACAGCCCCTGCCCGCTCCTGTTTAAACGTTATATTTAATCGGTTAACTGCTTAATCGGTTAACTGATTAAATGGGATTTTATATCCCTAGGAAGTAATCCACCAAATAGGGGGTCTTAATATCATCATTTGTGGATCCGTTCTCCACTATGCTAGGTGCTATATAAAAAGGCAGCTCCTTTGTAAGTACCCATGAGTGACTGCTGTGACGGATCAATGCAATCAGAAGAAAATGTATCTAGTCTTCCTTATCTTCATGCAAGGTGCATGGGATGTATAGAAGCTGGTGAAAATGAGGAGGATTCTCAAGGTTCTGATGAGTTATGTTTTATAAAAAAAAATATTTAAAGACTGGCTCAATAGGGTACTGGCAGGAAAACAGATTTATGTCCATATGATTTTTCTAAATACGTACCTATATTCCCCTGGTTTGCTGCCTTTCCATACATGATACACAACTACCAATATGGCTGAAGAATTTAGAAATCAAAAGCATATTAAAAGCAAGTTTTATTTAAGGTGGAATGTATTCAAGAACTCAATATTTGATCCCATATAAATCAACTCACAGTTCCTACTTTTCCTTATACAGAACAACAGAACACTAGTGTAGAATATGAGCATAGAGTTGTTGCAAGAAAATGATCCATCCAAACAAATATTTATGCTTCTGAATTCTTAGACAGATCTGTTTTATGTTTTTTTACATAATTGGCATTGTTATTCTTACTTTCTACCCCATTTTGTGCCACTGAATTATATGCACACTGAAAACAAAAAGCATAAATCAGAAAAGCTTCATTAACATTCATCGTGAATTAGCATAATCAATTAGTTCTGTGAGTATTTTGTCAACGATCTACAAATAGTTTTAATAAGAAATTACACTTACCCTGTGCGTTTGGTGATAGTCCCTAAGGTCATTGGCTGTTTGATTTGTGCAAGAGGCACCACCACAGTCAAACTGGGAAGAGGCAAGAGTCGTGGGTTCCCAGGATTATTATTAGTAAAATTATTGTAAGTATCTTGGCTATTCAGTTTACCTTGAAGGAATGGAAAAAAAATAAAAAAAAATAATTACTGGAAACTTTTCTTCATTTATCATTTCTGACAACAATCTAAAATTGAGAGTTTAAAATATACACTAATAGATTTCTATTGATGAAGAAAAAGAAAAAAATCTCTACAGAATTCATCTTAAAACTACAGAAAAATATACAGAAGCTGATAAACAGTAATAAAATTATTTTTTATATCTAAGGAGATGGGAAAAATTGTCGCCTAGTGTAATAAAGTCAATCATGGTGATACTGTTCTAGTGAGTGAATTTCTCATATCAAGAAATTTCAAAGTCCAACTAAAGAAGCAGACTCCAAATCCAAACTGTCTATGGAAAAGGTAAACATTCTAGAAAGGATTTTTTTTCATCCTGTAATATCTCTTACTGTGCTTTACATTGAGAAGTTCTGAACAGAACTTTTTTGCTGCCTGCATGGGTGAAGGGAATAGCAACTAGCTTCACTGACAAAGGGATAGAAAAATATATTTATATAAAGAATAAAATGAAGGAAAATTAAGCTAAAATAACTGAAAAATCAAGAGTTTATTATGCAAAGAAACAAACTTCATAGTCCTGAAAAACAAGAGAAATAAAATAGCCAAAATAAGTATTTTTAAATGAGAAAGAACATCCCCCCCCCCCCACTAAACTTGTTTTTTGTTTCAAATTACTAAGTCACAAGGTCTGTTTTGGATATATGCTTACTTTAGATATGCTTCCCTACTTTCTGTATCATTCTGCAACAGCAACCTTCTATTCGTCAGTTAGAAAAGGAAACTAGCTACAAATTTCATGGCCAACAAGGAAAGAAAGCAAAGAAAGAAAGCAAAGAAAGAAAGAAACCAAAGAAGCCAAAGAAAGAAAGAAAGAAAGAAAGAAAGAAACTAAACAAAAAAGGGGCCAGTCTGTTTATAATAGAATCAAAAGTGCTTTAAATAGACAAGCAACTGTGAATTAAAAGGTTTAGATCATTAACTTGTTTTTCTGTGTCCCTATAATGCTGTGAAATGCTGGCTTTGTCCTTAATAAAAAGGAAGCCATATTGGGAATTAAGTTCCTAAACAACCGATGCATTCTACATAGATATTATACAAATCCCAGGCCAAATCCATACAATCCTGACTGAAGTGCAGCCACCTTTTTTTCAAGGAAGAATAACAGCAAAGAAAAGAGTTTCTCACAGGAAGCAGGCTGAAAAGCTATAATGGTACTTCAGATGGATTGAAGATAGGAAAAGGAAGGCGGAAAAATCTTAATGAATGTCTCATCTTCCTAAAGACACTCAATGCTTCCTTTAGCTTCCTTTTAATACTATATAACCGTTAGCTTGGGGTTTTGTGTTTGTTTTTCTACCAAGTATGTAGAACTCATTGTTTTAGGAAAGCACACAAACAAAAAAACAAAACAAAAAGATGAAATTGCAAAGTGTATTTTGTGTTAGATATCTGGTCTGAGCATTAATCAGCATGTTTTAAAAGAAATGACAAAGCCTGAATTAATAATCAGTGTTCTGAATAGTCTCCAAGTTCGGACTTCATTTATAAGTATAGAGATTTTCCTGAACTAACTTGGGAAAGAAATACATAGAAAGAAAAAAACCCTTCATGTTTAAATTAAGCCTGCAGCTTCAACTCCTTTTTTAAAAAAAATCTAGTGAGTTTCCTTGAAGATTCATTCTTGGGTCATATGGAAAGACTAACATTTTCTACATTTCGCTGTAATTAGTTACTATAATATGTCATCAAGACGCTTTTTAATAAATGTGTTCTTCTCTATATATTCAATATAAACAGCAACGTTCAACACAGAAAACAGTGATGCTTACAAAAGTGATTCCAAATATCTACATCTTGTTTGCTGAATTCTGTTAGGAATATGATGGCTAATTGTCATTTTGCACTGATCAAGTTCTGCACCCCATCCGCCTGTTGCAACAGTAATTTATATACAGTACATACCATGAATCCATAATTACTCAAGGCACTCAAATCTCAGTACCATACAGCAATTAATTAGCTTTCCAAATGCAAAGCTGCCACTGAATTCAATAGGATTTCTTAGTGCAGGAAAAGTGAGTAATCATAAATTAGATCTACGCTGAAAAATGCCAAGCTCCTTCAACTCCCATTAAAGTTGAGGGATCCTGTGGGGCAGCTGAGGACACTTAGCTGTTTGGAGGATTAGATCCTCCTTCAGGAATCTGAAAAGATACCAATACATGCCCATGTGCACCAATTAGTCACTGTAATGTTTGTACTTTACAGAGTGAAGGGCTTAAGGGTTAGTGACATTCTTGAGTTGTTTGATACATTATGCGTTGCTTTACTTTTTACATTAAATATTTTTATGCTGTCTTTAATGACAACCAAAGAAAGACAAGAAGAAAAAAGAAAAGAACAAAGATATATTAAAAGGGAAATAAAGATGCTTAACAGATGAGAAATTAGAAAATATAATGTTCTTTTTCACTTGTGTGCTTGTGTTTTGTGAACGCACTAACGTAGATTTTATTTACTTTTTTAGAAGCAACGTACAAAGAATTGTTACCGTAAATCCTATTTCAATTCCTACCTCAATCATACTGCAGTCACTTTGCAGAAACTAAGTCAGAATTAACAAAGAAACGATACTTAACTACATGAGGTTTGTTTTCAAGACTGTGACTTCTGGTTCTTTAACCTACCTTGGAAAACCAATCCTACACACTTTCTTTTCTGTTGTTTTTAACAAAACACTACGCCATTTATGATATTAAATGAAAACACTTTCCCTTCAATCATCACCAGTGTTATCACTTAGACCTGCACTAGAAGTAAGATGCTCTCATTATAACCTTTTGCAGATATTTTCTACAGAACCATATTCATTGCTGTCAGTTGAAAACTGCATAAAAATAACTATATGATTAAAATCAAAGTTTCATTATTCACAAGCATTGCTTACAGACTGTGCAAACAGTCACTCTGCCTTTGGGATGAAAGAGGGGCGTTACAAAGTAACTAGATGTAGGTAAGAAACAAGATGTTTGGCTTGTTCATAATTTCTAGGACAGAAGGATCTTTTGAGTCCAGATACCTTAGATTTAAAAATAAAGTTTCCCTGACTGAAAGGATACAAGTTTAAATTAAAAATTAACCAACCCAGTCATCAAAATACTCAACATTTCACAGCAGAAATGAAGTTTAAAGTAAAAGAACCAAACATAACAGATGCAACCAAATACCTACCAATCTACACTTTCTTTTAAGCCAAGTTTAGTGGCATAATTTTGAAATTAAATTCACCAGTTATGGTGCAAATCAAATAAATAATCATACTGGTGCAAAAGGGTTAAGAGAAAAATTTTAGTTTTTTCAGGAGTGAGTAATTTGCTAGATAATTTGACTTTTAAATAAGCGCTACTTAGTGCAGATGAATCAGGTTAGGAAAAAATGTAACTTTATATAGAAAGTAATAATTGCTTTCATTTGAATTATATTTGGATACTTTTAGTATGGAAATGTACAATAAAGTGGTATCTCTATTGTCTGGACAATGTTGCCTCAGTCCCATCATAAAGATATAACCTTGACTTCTTAATTGCATAGCCGTGGGGATACAGTAAATGCACTCTGTGACTAGGTTTTCTTTATCATGCATTCAGCAAGGGTTATATTGTACATCCACTACTGGAAAGAAGTGGTGTTCCATAGATTACATTTAGCAGCTCAGGGTTTTTTAAAACTTTGTACATGCTATTGTATCTGTCCAAAAACCCAATAAAAAAATTACAGCCCCCTCCGCTCTGGTCCTCTAGCCCTTAGAAGCATGCAACTCCCATTGTAGCAAATGGGAATTTTCCACTCAAGACAGTAGGATCAGGCCAAAAAAGCACAAAGAATGCAGTCAAGCATCAACACTATTTCCACAGCTCAAGCAGTTGTTGATTCCCTGTCAAACAACACAGCAACCCAAGTTTAAGGCTGCCAGAAATATCAACATCATTTGGTACAGTGAAGAATCATTCAGCATCGCACTGACAAATTATTCTGCAGAATGTATAGCGGTTAAATCAACACTTCAAATATACCTATTGGTAAGTAACAAAAAGCAGGTCTACAGTTGCAACAGACTAGCTTTCCTAAATGTTGAAAATTTAGCCTGAAATGACATGCTCATTTCAGAACCATGTTTTCATACTGACAATTGCGCATAAATCAGGCAGGATCCTGCCTGATTGACTTTTCCAAGAATACCTTCTATAGCAGGGGTCTCCAAACTTTTCAGCCCGAGGGCCGCATTAACTATCAAACAGCAGTTCGGGGGCCGACTACACACTTGAGGTCCAAATAAAAAACAATCAAAACATGGATGTTGTTTTTAATTATTTATTTAATATTATTTTATTCAGTTATTATTTAATAACACATTCATACACTACACATGAACACCTGTATTAGTGTGAATGGTGAAATTGTTTCCTGGATGCCAAAATAGCAGACATTTCTGGCTTTAGATTTGTTGTCCCTAACATCAACAGTGACCTGAGATTATCATCGGACAAGTTTGTTCTCAAATTGTTCTTCACGTATTTCATTCTTGAAAATGTTTGTTCACACAGGTATGTTGTTCCAAAGATTGAAAGGTACCTTGATGCAAAAGTTTTGACATTAGGAAAGTCTTCCTTGGGCAAAAACTGGTAAAAACCCACCAGTCCTATTTTGAACTTGTCCCTAAGGAGGTCATTTGCTTGCAACTCAATGACTTCCAGCTGCAGTTCATCTGGGCAACTGGCCACATCTGCTTCAAATGGGTTTTGAAACAATCTCACTTCTTCTGCCTTTGAATCCAAAAAGGTCTCCACGGGCCGGATGAGAGGCCCTCGCGGGCCGCATCCGGCCCCCGGGCCGCAGTTTGGAGACCCCTGTCTTAGGGTATAGATTATTGTTCAAACATAAAGACTAAAATGAAACAATTGAATTGACCCTCCCCCCTGATTGGCCG